GTGATTTCGTTGAAATAAAATCCGGCTGCGACATTCGTTTGATCGAAAATGTATTTCCTTTTCTACAATTTTCGATCAATTCATAGTAATGTTGACTTAGACCACTTTCATAATTAACACTAAATGAATTCCGTATAACGTTATAATTACAGCTACTATCTGAAGGTTCATTTTTGACGATATCGTAAAAATTACATTGAATAAATTTAGTTTAAAATCATGTCGTGTGAAATAAGTGATAAATTCATTTTTTTTTTAATTTTGACTTAGACCACTTTCATAATTATGGGCACATGTAGTCTTAGGTTGATATATAATTGCAGTCATGGGGCATCAGTTTTAAAGCAATAGATACTTACGCTACTTCAGCAAAAGATGCATTTTATATGTACAAGTAACAATCATTTATGCTGTTAAGGCTATCTTATAATTACCTACATCACGGTTGCGTTTCTATTGTTTCCACAGTGTAAAGACGTAATAAATAAAAAATGCTGTCTTGATTAGAGTACTTAGAAATTAACGCTTTGAGTGCCACGTGTCGATGCTTATTTTCCACATCGAATATTGTCCCAAACGCAATGAGAATAAATGTCAATTTTTTATGGAATTCCATTACAAATTTATATTTTGAAGTCCGTTGACCATAGGTGGACGAACGAAAATAATAAAACGATTAAAAACTAGTCGATATATCGTCAGCTTCATAGATGGATAAATCTGAAACATGAAAACAGCACTTGTACAATCTCAGTCATAATAGATTACACCGTTGTGTGTTATCTTATGTATAAATCGTTTCTAAACTATTTAAAAAATATTATTCAAATATTTCGACTGCCTTCAAGCAACATTTTAAAGAATGCGGGAACTGCACGAACTTCTACCAAAGACCCTGTCATCGACAAATTATCAGAACACTTTGCATTTACCAATATGCATCTCAATGAAAACCGAGCTCGATTAAAAACTCCGGTATCGATTCAATTTGCATCGCACCAAAACCATTCACAGAGGAGACAAATCGCGTCCGCCGTCTCTCCAACAATTTCCCGAATCGCGAATCTGTATAAAGATCAGCGCCGACACGTTTTTCGCGCGTCCCTTCCCACAGCCGGCGCATTCAGAACGGGGAAGAATTAACTTCCGGTGCCCGATCCATTTCACCGAAAGCTTTTAGGACGCGCGACGGTTGAATCGGTCCCATATACTGTCTGTAATTACCCGGACGGTCCCGTTGATCCAGTTTTTCGGGGCAGCGTTCGCGGCGGCAAAAAGTCGACTCTAATCTCGTTCCGGCGAGACGGGGCAAGCCGGTAATTCCTTTTGACGGTTAAACGCGAATAAACCGGCCGTGGATCGGCCGCGAGCGGAGAAGAGGGCTCGACTAGAGAAGAGAGGAGAGAAGCGACAAGAGAGAACGCGCGCGGCGGCTGGAATTCGTCTGCGTCTCCGGTTGTTTCCGCGAGTGGAGTCGACCGACTCCGTGTGTCCGGGCAACGAACCTAACCCAGAACAGAGAACCCTCTTTCGTTTCGGCGAGCGGGAAGCTCGGAAGGCCGTTTCGACGCTGCCTCTTTACTTTGTTTTTACGATATGACGCGGAAAACAAGGGCGAGTGTCGGGGCCGCCTTTGTTCGACCCGGCGCGGCGTAATACGGTTTTATGCTCCCCGGGTTGCCTCCGTCTCGGAATTTCCTCGAGATGCTCGTTTGTTTTTCAATCGTTGACGTACGGGATGCGGGGCACACGAGAGACACAAGAGACGCGCGCGAGCCGATTATTCGCGGCCGCCCGATCGTGTCTCCAGGATCGCGATACATAATGCAATGACAAGGGAAACGGAACGCGGCGCGCGCCGCCAGATACACGGAATAGCCCGTGGAAGTCGATGCACTCTACAGACGCGGAGGAGTTCTAAACCCGTGGAACAAGCTGATTCTTCGACAGTTCCTCGGAGTCTGTACAGTGACCTAGATTAATATATGAATTTTATGGAGGACGACAGTCGTGAGCTTTATGGACGATAACGTTTGAGTTTTAGGGAGAGTTAGAGGATGCGCGCATTTGACTTTCAACATGCACGTGATTTACGGCGCGAATATTATGATTTTCGCCGATCCTGGATTCGATCAATTGAGATCGGCGGCAGTAATCACTTAGGATTTATGATGTCGTGAAGATTTACCGTCCGTTTGATGGCCTGCCTTGGCGGGAGCAGTTGAAAGGATGCAAAGGACTGAGTGCAGTTTTGAAATGACGACGATATTAGCAAAATCTTATTTTAGCTACGTGTTGTATTTGTGTATTCGAAAGTACACCGACATCGAACAAGACAATTGAGAAGAAGGTAACATCTCTGAGCCAGTTAGCTGTGGCGCCTGCTTTTTAGAGCACGTACTTATATGTGTCGCGAGGATAAAGCAATGATGAGTATTTGGCGGTGGTGGATGTGGTGACTGTGACTGTGTGAAAGGATTAAGGTTTGGGTTAAGGGAGAGAAGGGAGGAAAGGGAGACGTTTCGTCCAGGACCCGCTAGAGGACTCATCGGTAAGGCTATCCTAGCGGGCCCTTGCCTTAGACGTTGGGATGTCGGTAGGAAGGACGAAGACTGTATACAGGGTGGGGCATTTTAAATACGTCACCTGAATAACTCCCTTGCTTTTGAAGATAGGAGAAAATTTTTCTGTAGGTGGAGGCGTCGAGGAGATATGAAGGTCAATTCTGTTTTTTTAAGTGAAACAGTAAGCCTTTTTACTTACATTCTGATAGAGTGTTTCGAGGCGAATACAATGAACTATTATGAAGATCATTCAAGATCACCCAAAGTCAACTGCAAGAGAAANGTGTGAAAGGATTAAGGTTTGGGTTAAGGGAGAGAAGGGAGGAAAGGGAGACGTTTCGTCCAGGACCCGCTAGAGGACTCATCGGTAAGGCTATCCTAGCGGGCCCTTGCCTTAGACGTTGGGATGTCGGTAGGAAGGACGAAGACTGTATACAGGGTGGGGCATTT